TCTGCAGAGGGGATAGCACGACTCAGAGTGGTCCACTCAAGTGCAGCAGCCACGGCTGCAACTGGAATCAGAGGTGAGGTTCTGTGGATGTGAGTCAGGCCCCCAGAGGTGTCTGAGCCTCCTGAGAAAGGAACCTTTAATCCGAGACCAGAAGGATGAATCAGAATCAGAGGAAAGGAAGCAGGGAGAGAAAGGCGAACGTTCTGTTCAGAAAAAACAGGAAGTTCAAGGGTAGGAGAGCAGGGCCCTTTTGTAGAACTAGGGGAAAAAATTACCTGAGGCTGGAATAGAGACAGCAAGAGAAGAGGTGAATAAATGGTGGGAAATGGAACTTGGGGGGGCCTGTAAAGCAAGTTGAAGCTTCATCTGAAGGGCAACAGGAGCCACTGAAAGGTTTTTAATAGGGGAGAGAATGTTCAGATTTTCATTTCTAAAAATGGTTATAATGTCCCCTCAGCAGGTGGATCCCCTGCTGCTTTTCCAAAGAAAATGCAAGCATCAAAGTGGCAAACCAAACTTTTGTGGCAACATATAGCATATATGGTCTGCACACATGGGGCCTTCAAATACCAAGAGATTCTTCTACAGAGGCAAATATTGCCTACAGATTCTGTTCAGATTGGAGGACCTGAGCCCAAAGCCCCTCCCAACACAGGTCTCTAGAAATGAGACAAATGTGGTTTTGATCCATGACAATGTTAGGAAGCTGGAAGGAGTTTCCTTATGAATAAGAAATCTTGAAAATTCCCTGAAATATGGAAGCCAGTCAAATCAGAGTTTAAAAGGATTCCTATACTGAAGCTCACGTGGGCAAACACTTTTGCATAAAAATGGGAGATGGGAAGTAGCTCCAAGAATACTCAAAGCCTTGAGGTAGGCCAGGCGTGGTGGTTCACACCTGTAATCCCAGTACTTTGGGAGGCCAATGCGGGTGGATCACTTGAGGTCAGAAGTTCAAAACCAGCCTAGACAACATGGTGAAAACCCCATCTCTACTGAAAATACAAAAATTAGCTGGGCGTGGTGGGACACGCCTATAATCCCAGCTACTCAGGAGGCTGAGGCAGGAGAATCACTTGAACCCAGGGGGGTGGAGGCTGCAGTGAGCCAAGATCACACCACTGTACTCCAACCTGGGCAACAGAGTAAGACTCCATCTCAAAGAAAAAAAACAAAAACAAAAAACAGGGATTGCTGGGGCCCACCCCATGAGCTTCGGATTCATTTGGTCTGGGTTTTCATTTCTCACAAGATTCCAAGAGAGGTTGATCCTGCTGGCTCAGGGATCACACTTTTAGAAGCATTGCTCTACTGATGACCTCTGCAATTTTAAGTACTAAACAGCTAGTTCTCGTTTCATCAAGTTTTGCAATCTCTTGACCCACCAATTTAAAAGATTAAGATACTAAGAAAACTTCTGTTATTCTACTTTTACTTTCATTTAATCAAATTTAATGACATTTGCATTTTATGTTATCACCATAGCTTTGATTTTGGCTTGACCGTAAATACTGAAAACCAATAAATAGTGCTAATTTGATTGTGGCTTCATTATTATTGCTCACAGTTGAGCCAAAACAAGTGTCATGATTACATATCCTCCTCTATAGTTGCAAAGTTAAAGTCCAGGAATATGCAACTTCTACTGCATATAGAACATTTCTAGAATCAACATTCTTTTCTTCTTTATACTCTTCTACTTACTCAAAATCCTACCATTTTAAGTTTTGGTATGCTATGTTTCCATAACCATTTGCCTTAAGAAATTTTTTAGTTTCCCTTTGAATTATTTCATTGACCCATTGAAGGTCTCACACTGAAGGTCTCACATCATCAAGTAAAAGTTCAGTCCTAAAACTATACACATCATAAGTTCTCAAAACTCATGGTCTAAAACTGGTCATGTGACTGGGCACAATGGCTCACCCCTGTAACCCCAGCACTCTGGGAGGCTAAGGTGGTCAGATCACCTGAGGCCAGGTCAGGAGTTCAAGACCAACCTGGCCAACATGGTGAAACCCTGTCTCTACTAACAATACAAAAATTAGCTGGATGAGGTGATGGGTGCCTGCAATCACAGCTATTTGGGAGGCTAAGGCAGGAGAATCACTTGAACCTGGGAGGCAGAGTTTGCAGTAAGCTAAAATCACTCCATTGTACTCCAGCAGCAACAGAGTGAGACTGTGTCTCCAAAAAACTCAAAAATCCTTGAGGTAGAAGAGCCTGAGAGCAGTAGTAGCTCTGCATACCTAAAGGGAAATGAGCTGGGGCACCAAAGTAGCAACTGTGAGGTCAACATTGCCCTTTGGACTAAGCAGCAACAGAGCGATAGAGGTGTCTACCCCCATGGAGGAGCCAGGAGTATGAGCCTTTAGGACCCAGAGCTAAAATAGTGTTCCAGGGGACTGGTGACATCAAGAAAGAATGAGGAGCTCCCTCCCCATGAAATGCCTCCCTGGCCACTCTATGTCTGACTCACACCCTGTCTCCTGCAGGTAAACTGCAATAAACAATCAGAGACAGGCTAACAGGGATCCCCCAAAACAAAGATGATTCTTCAGTTAAGACTCACTAAGCAATTGTGGAAATCTATCTCTGTGCAATAGACATCATCCTCTTACCAAATGCAGAACTTGCACCTGAGGAAATAGAGCTGATAGCTGAGCTGGGCTGAATAATTAAATTATCAGGGAGATGTAAGATTACCATATGCAAACACTGTGAATGATTATTTATTTATTTATTTATTTATTTATTTATTTATTTATTTTAAACAGGGTCTCATTCTACCACCTGGGCTAGAGTACATAGATGTGATCACAGCTCACTGCAGCCTCAACCTCCATGGCTCAAGCAACAATCCTGCTTCAGTCTCCCAAGTAGCTGGCACTACAGGTATACACCACCACACCCAGATAATTTTTGTATTTTTTGCAGAGAAAGGGCTTTGCCATATTGCCCAGGCTGATCATGAATTCCTGGGCTCAAGCAATCTGCCTGCTTCAGCCTCCCAAAGTGCTGGGACTGCAAGAGTGAGCTGCTACAGCCAGCCATGAATGATTTCTATTTGGGAAGTTAACATAAAATTTGATAACTTAAAATATTCAATATATAAGCTGAGTAGTAATAGAATGAACTGCCAAAGAGAAAATGCGTGAGTTATAAAATCAAGCCAAGAAAACTTCCAGAATGTAACTAAGATTTTTATTTTTTCGTATTTTATTTATTTATTTATTTAGAGATGAAGTCTCACTGTGTCGCCCAGGCTGGAGTACAGTGGCATGATCTTGACTGCAACCTCTGCCTCCTGGGTTCAAGTGAGTCTCATGCCTCAGCCTCCCGAGCACCTGGGATTACAGGTGCCTGCTACCATGCCCAACTAATTTTTATACTTTTAGTAGAGATGGGGTTTCACCATGTTGGCCAGGCTGGTCTCGAACTCCTAACCTCAAGTCATCCACTTGCCTCAGCCTCCCAAAGTGCTGGGATTACAGGTGTGACCTACAACGCCTGGCCAGATTTTTAAAATGTAAAACAGAAGTTAAAGTGATATATAATATAAATTGGACTTAGCTAGAATTTAAATCTTCTGCTCTTCAAAAGACACTGTTAAGAAAATAAAAATACAAGCCTAGACTTGGAAAAAATGTTTGCAAACATGTATCTATTAAAAGACTTGTATCCAGAATATGTAAAGAACTCTCAAAACTCAATGATAAGAAAAAGAAACAACTCAGTAAAAAATATGCAAAAGATATGAATAAACACTTAACTAATGAAGATATATAGATGGCAAACAAAAACATGAAAATATGCTCAATATTATTAGTTATTGGAAAAACAAATTAAAACCATAAGAGACTTAATACTACTACATGCCTATTAGTATGACAAAAATTAAACAGACTGACCACACCAAGTACTGATGAAGATGCTGGTGAACTGGCACTCTCATACACTACTGGTAGGAAGGTAAAATGGTGCAACCACTTTGGAAAACAGCGTAACGGTTTCTTCAAAAGTTAAACATGTACCTACAATATAATTTAGTCATCTCATTCTTAGGTTTTTATCCAAAAGAAAAGAAAATACACGTCATACAGAGACTTGTCTACAAACATTCACATCAACTTGATTTTTAATAGCCCAAAAGTGCAAACATCTATAGATGTCCATACGTAGATGAATAGATAAATAAATTGTGGCATATTCATATAATGGAATAACTACTCAACAATATAAAGGAATAAACAAGCAATAACATGAATGAATCTCAAAATAATTTTGCTGAGTGAAAGAAGACAGAAAAATAGTCCATTTTGTATTATTTTATTTATATAAAATTCTAGGAAATATAACTAATCTATAGTGACAGAAATTAGATCAGTGGTTGTCTGGGATCAGCAGTGGGAGGGACAGGTGGAATGTCAGAGAGAAATTACAAAAGGCAAGAAGAAACTTTTGAGAGTATTAGATATGCTCACCATCATGATAGCAATGATGGTTTCCCAGGTGCAGACATATGTCAAAACTTATCAAATAGCATCTTTTAAATATGTACAGTTTACTGTATATCAGTTATACCTTAATAAGGCTATTACTGTGTGTGTGTGTGTGTGTGCGCGCGCACGTGCGCTTGTGTGTCTGTATTGGTATGTCTCAATTTTATATGGCCATGACTCTTTTCCCTGCTCACCTGTTGCCCCAGTTTGCAGAGCCATGACATATGCAATGAGACAGACCTAGGCGTGATCCTGGCTCCACTGTCATTCTGGCTGTGTGCCCTTCAGTAAATGATTTACACTTTCAGAGCCTTCATTTTTTTCCTTCAAAATGGAGTAGTGCTTGGTATTATATTAGTGAATGTCAAACGCCTTTCACATAATAGGTTCTTGAAAACTTTAGACCACCAATCACCCCAGAAACTGAACCAGCCATATTTATGATTGCCCCTAAGGCATTAACTTTATTTTTAGCTAAAGACACCAGTATGCAATCGCCTTGAGTCCAAAGGTCCAGGGGGAAAGATGTTGAAATGCTGAGCACTGCCCTGCAGGCCCATCTGCTCTGCATTAGCCAGACTTCCTCTGTTTATTATTCCATGTGTTAAATCTCCTCCAATTCTTGTGTGAAAAGTTCGGGCGCACAATAACCTCTTTATCACATTTTCAAATTCTGGGCCTGTTCTGGAAAGTTTACACCTTTTTCTTGTTGCCATTGTTTTCATGTGGATTCAGATTTCTGAAAAAGGCATTTGGAGCACTTTGCTGAAAATATTTGTGTGTAAAGCTTGATGAGACAAACATTGCCCAAAAGTGAGAATTAGATGTCAGAGGAATTAGAAACATACCACGTGGGCCATGTGGTACAGCTGTGGCTGTGTGAGGAGAATCTGAGGCTTGGGGTGATGGTTGAGAGCCTGTGGCTGGGCAATACTCTTAGCTGCTCTCCTTTGGGGAATAAATTAAATAATACTGAAAAGAATAACAGAAACATGCCAATGTTGGAGCAGAGAATAAAAGGGTCATAAAACTCTGTAAAAATAAATGCATCATAACAATATTGCTTACCATTCATTGAGTATTATTTGTGTACCTTGCTTCACTAAGTGCTATTTTATTGAAACCTTACAACACACCTTGAGTTAGGTATAGAATAAGCAAGGGTTCTTTTAGCCATAAGTGACAGGAAGTCCACCTCAAACTGGCTTACCACATAAAGAACTTTTTATTGGATATGTAAATTTAAAGTGCAGATTTAGTTCTACCTTCAAGTGAGACTTGATCCAGCAGCTCCAAAAGATATTTTCAAAGACCAAGACTCTTTTCCTCTTCTCTCTGCCTTCTTATTAGCTTTCTCTTTGAGCTTCATGGAGTCAGTTCAGATGTCCCAGGTTTCCCATGGTGGCAAAATGGCTGCAGCTTTTCTAGACCTCACATCCTTACAGAGAAAGAGAGAATAAACCCTGAAATTCACTCTCATTGGTCACAAATGGGTCATGTGTCCATTCCTAAACAGATCACTGTGGTGGGGAGGGGGACGTGAGTAAGAAAGGTTGATTATATCAAGTCTATGGGGAAGTAGTCCATACCCAGTGACTAGACGTCGGTTCAATCCCAACCAAAGCTGCAGGCTGAGAAATGGGAAGAAGTAGCATCCCAAGGGAAAAAAGGGAAAGGGCTAATTCCAAAAGGGAAATGGATGCTGGGGACACATCCAGTGAATGCCCACTATAGTGTACTCATTCATTCATTCGTTCACTATTTAGAAATTGTCAAACAGTATTTAGGAGCTGGGGCCACATCAGGAAATAAAAAGCGAAAATCTCTATGGTAGATTCTGTTGATGGCCCCACTGCATATCCCCTTGACACACCTGCAACTGTGTTGGACAGTTCCTATGCACAGGAACTGTGTCTACCTCTCTGCTTCTTGGCCAGAAGGCTTTCTCTGCACGGGGCAAGCTTGCTCAGCCCATGGACAAGTCAGTCTGAATGTACCAGAGATTTAAGCCTCCCTACATTCAACAATGGGCAGGAGTTGGGGACAATACTCCAGTTTTTCTATCTCTAGGTAGGAAATGTATGAGAATTTCAGCTCAACAGGGCTTCTCAGAGGATCTCCAAAGTATTGTCCACAGCACTAATAAGTTTACTAATGCCTCCTTTATTGATTTTACTTGCTATGGTTTTTTCCCCCCAGTTCCCTTTCTTATACCCTTTAGGATCATCTCCCAAATGAACAGCCAACCCCATATCCCCTGTCTCAAGGGTCAGCTTTCAGTGGAACTCAAACTCAGACCATCACTGCCTTCATGGGCTTACATTCTGGTGGCAGGAGGAGATGAATAATAAAATAAATGAGCAAACTATGTGATGTTATATTAAGATAGGTGTTGTAGAGGAATATAAAGTAGAGAAGGGGATAGAGTGATGGGGTGGGTATGGGTGCAATCTTAAGGCCTTGAGGAAAACACTACAGGTAAGTCAAGACCTAAAGAAGATGTAAGGTTAAGCTGTGTTAACAGTCAGGTTAGGCTGTATTATGCTAAGATAACAAGTAACTCACAGACAATGATGGCTTAAACGACAGAGGGTGTATTTCTCACTGAAACCACATGTTCATTTCGGGTCAGCTGGGACATTGCTCCACATGCATTCATTTAGCAATCAGCTGAAGAAACATAGCTAGTTATCATGGGAGACAGAAAAAAAGAATTCTAGAAGGTCTCATCTCATCAAGCAAAAGTTCAGCCCTAAAGTTGTACATATTGTAAGTTCTCAAAACTCATTGTCTAAAACTGGTCATGTGGCCAGGCACAGTGGCTCACTGCTGTAATTTCAGCACTTTGGGAGGCCGAGGCGGGCGGATCACCTAAGGTAAGGAGTTCGAGGCAAGCCCGGCCAACATGGTGAAACCTGATCTCTATTAAAAATACAAAAATTAGCCAGGTGTGCTGGTGTACATCTGTAATCCTAGCTACTTGGGAGGCTGAGGCACAAGAATTGCTTGAACCTGGGAGGCAGATGTTGCAGTGAACTGAGATCGTGTCACTGCACTCCAGTCTGGGCGACAAAGTGAGACTCTGTCAAAAAATAAAAAATAAAAAAGTAAAAAATAAAATAAAACTGGTAATGTGGCCCCACCAATCACAAGTGATGAAGGAGGTACAACTTACCAAGTGTCTGGTTGACAGAGAGATAAAAATAATCTGTGAACAGACCTACTAACACCACAGTCCACCCTTCTGGATCACCAAATATTCTGACAAAATATGCACACCATCTCCTAAGTGGAGAAAAACAACCATATCCAACTCAAAGTCCATGAAGGATAATTTGTCTCCACATCAGGTTTGGTTATGATTTACTTGATCCAGAGACCTACAAACTAAAAAGACAAGTTGCCTGAACCCAACATGCAAGACATGAGATCTGGGTTTCAAAAAACAAACAAACAAACAAACAAACATGACAAGCCATACTAAAAGGCAAAAACACAGTTTGAGGAAATAGAATAAGCATCAGAACCAGACAAACATCGCATGCCCTCACTTATATGTGGGAGCTTAAAAAGTGTATTTCATGAAGATAGAGAGTAGATTGGTAGTTACCAGAGCCTGGGAAGGAGAGAGGGGGCACAGAGAGAGGTTGATCAATAGGTACAAATACACACTTTGATAGAAGAAATAAGACCCAATGTTTAATAGATAATTACGGTGACTATAGTTTACAATAATCTATTGTATATTTCAAAATAGCTAGAAAAGGCCAGGTGTGGTGGCTCACGCCTGTAATCCCAACATTTTGGGAGGCCAAGGCAGAAGGATTGCTTGAGCCTGGGAGTTTGAGACCAGCCTGGGAAACATAGTGAAACTCTGTCTCTACAAAAAAAAAAAATTGTAAAAAGTAGCCCGGCATGGTGGTATATGCACCTGTAGTCTCAGCTACTCAGGAGGCTAGATGGGAGGATCACTTGAACCTGGGAGTTTGAGACTGCAGTGAGATATGTTACACCATTGCACTCTAACCTGGGTGACAGAGTGAGACACCATCTATAAAAAAATGTTTAATTTCTTAAAAAAATTGCTAGAAGAGAATGAATGTTTCTAGCATAGGAAAATACAAATATTTAGGATTATAAATGTCTTAATTAGACTTATTTGATCATTACAGATTGTATGAATGTATTAAATTATCACATATATCCCCAAAATATGTACATCTATGTATATATTTTTTAATCTTTTTTTTAAAAGTAAAGGACAAGAGGTGCCCTGCCATGCTGGGCACCAACCACTGAAGCCTGGGACATACTATCTGCCTACTCACCCATTCCTTCCACAGTACATGCCAGGTGCCCTAAGTCAACTACCCTCCTCCCCTCAAGATAGCACAATATTGGGCTAACCTGCTGTGTTCATGGCCACACTGTTGATTGTCCTGCTGCTGATGGTATGTGATGAAGGGGGCATCCACCGTATTTTGTATGGCATCTTTTTAAAATCTAAATTCAAGTTTCTGCAAGAACTAATGGGAGACACAGAACCCCAAGAGGGAGATCAAGAGCATTCTGGGTCTGAAACCGAAGAAGACACTTCATTCTCTCCACATCTGAATGATCAGATTCATTCAGCAAAACAGGGCACCTGCTGATGAAGGCCACTGTCCCCATACATAGTCCGTTATTGGTGAATGATGAAAGAAAATTGCTAGCCTCTGTCTTCAGTGACTTGGCTTTGAAATTTACTAAATGACTGAAGAACATTTATACTTGGATTTTAAGTCCAAAAAAAGAAAAAAGAAAGAAAGACAAATAAAGACTCAAAGACATTCCCAAACAAAAATTGAGAGAATTTGTTACCAGTAGACTTACCTTGCAAGAAATTTTAAAAGAAGCTCTTCTGACAGAAGAAAATTATATAGGTCAGAAATTCAGATCTACATAAAGAAAGGAAGGGCATTAGAGAAGGAACAAGTGAAGGTAAAATACAAAGTTTTCTTTTTCTTTCTCTTTTTTTTTTTTTTTTTGAGACAGAGTCTTGCTCTGTTGCCCAGGCTGCAGTGCAATGGTGCAATCTCGGCTCACTGCAACCTCTGCCTCCCAGGTTCAAGCAATTCTTCTGCCGCAGCCTCCCAAGTAGCTGGGACTACAGCTGCATGCCACCACACCTGGCTAATTTTTGTATTTTTAGTAGAGACAAGGTTTCACCATATTGGCCAGGCTGGTCTCGAACTCCTGACCTCGTGATCCACCCGCCTCAGCCTCCCAAAGTGCTGGGATTACAGGCCTGAGCCACTGCACCTGACCTGTTTTTCTTATTCTGAATTGATCTGACAGATAACAGTTTGTTCAAAATAATAATAGCAAGGAAGTGGGGCAAGATGGCCAAATAGACGCCTCCACCAATTATCCTCAACACAAGAATATCAAATTGAACAACTATCCACATACAAAAAAATGCACCTCCATAAAAACCAAAAATCAGGTGAGTGATTACAATACCTAGTTTTAACTTCATATCACTGAAAGAGACACTGAAGACAGTTGAAAAGACAGTCTTGTGTTGGCTATGCCATTCATCCCCCATTCTCCAGCTCCAGCCATGAGGCATGGAGAGATAATCTGTGCGCTTGAGGCAGGAACATCACAGTGATTGTGGAACTTTGCAGTGGAAATCAGTGCTTGCCTGTCACAACAGAAAACAACAGCAGGCAGAACTCAGGTGGTGACCACAGAGGAAGCGTTTAGACCAGCCCCAGCCAGAGGGGAATCGCCCATCCCAGCACTCAGAACTTGGGTTCTAGCAAGTCTTGCCACCATGGGCTAAAGTGCTCTGTGGTTCTAAATAAACTGGAGAGGCAGTCCACACCACAAGCACTGCAATTTCTAGGCACATCCTGGTGCTGTCTTGGGCTTAGAGCCAGATCACATGGGGGCCATATGATCTAGTGAAACACTAGCTAAGGGTGTCCAAGGGAGTGCTTATGCCAACCCTCCCTCAACCACAGGTAGCATAGCTGGCAGCTCGGGAAAAGACTCCTTCCTTCTACTTTAGGAGCAGAGGGAGACGAATAAAGAGGACTTTGCCTTGTAATGTGGATGCCAGCGTAGCCACAGTAGGACAGGGCACAGGCAG